AATTTGTCTAATAGAAATCAGTGCTAATTGTCTCCAAACACGTAAGAAACTCTGTGTAACATATTTTAATGTAAATGAATGCTAATTGTCCCTAGACATGTAAGAAACGCCGTGTAATTTATTGCTTAATAGAAATGACTGTTAGTTCTCCATACGCACGTAAGAAACCCTGTGGAATATATCAATGTAAATTAGTGCTAATTGTCTCTAGACATGTATATAACGCCGTATAATATATCGAATATAAATGGGTGTTAATCGTCTTTGGAGATGTAAGAAACGCTGTATAATGTATTGTGGAATATAAATGGGTGATAAATTTCCCTAGACATGTAAAAAACGCTATGTGATTTATTGTTTAATACAAGTTGGTGCTAATTGTCCATAGACATGTCAAAAACGCTATGTGATTTATTGTTTAATACAAGTTGGTGCTAATTGTTCCTAGATATGTAAAAACGCTATGTGATTTATTGTTTAATACAAGTTGGTGCTAATTGTCCCTAGATATGTAAAAATGCTGTGCACCAACTTGTATTAAACAATAAATCACATAGCGTTTTTTACATGTCTAGGGAAATTTATCACCCATTTATATTCCACAATACATTATACAGCGTTTCTTACATATCTAGGGACAATTAGCACCAACTTGTATTAAATAATAAATCACATAGCGTTTTTTACATGTCTAGGGAAATTTATCACCCATTTATATTCCACAATACATTACTTATTGTCCCTAGATATGTAAAAAACGCTATGTGATTTATTGTTTAATACAAGTTGGTGCTAATTGTCCCTAGATATGTAAAAATGCTGTGTAATATATTGTTTAATGTTGACTGCCTCAAGATAATTAAAAAACTCTAATATTTTGTTTAATAGTAATGAACACTAATCATTCTTAGACGTGTAAGAAGCGCTGAATAAAGTAGTGTTTAATAAATATTACTGTTAATTGTCCCTAGACATGTATAAAAACGCTGTATAATATATCTTAACGGCTACATGTGAGCTATCTACACTCTGTACACTGCGGGGACTCGAACCCCGGATTTTAGTGTTGTTAGTCCGTAAACTTACCGCTGAATAGAAGAAAGTGCTAATTGTCCCTAAACATGTAAGAAGCGCTGTGTGATATATTGTTTACTAGATATGAGTGCTAGTTGTCACAGACATGTAAGAAGCGCTGTGTAATATATTGTTTACTAGATATGAGTGCTAGTTGTCATCAGACATGTAAGAAGTGCTTTGTAATACATTGTTTACTAGAAATGAGTGCTAGTTGTCACCAGACATGTAGGAAGCGCTGTGTAATATATTGTTTACTAGATATGAGTGCTAATTGTCCCCAGACATGTAAGAAACGGTGTACAATAAACATGTTAATTTAGCACTTTCGAAGGAACAGAATTTTTACTAAAGTTGTCAGTATACGTAAGGCCATATTGAATATTAGAGGACTGAAGCACATATTATAATAAGGAGAGTTCTCATGAATATCAGCCTGTCGTACCTTTAACAGATCCCACTTGGTGATAGAAGATGTATTGACTCTCCAGCGGGAGATTCCTCTTAGCAGCAAAAGGATTAACTGTAAATCCAAAACCAAGCCTCTCAAGATAGGTTAGGTCCCTCGTGAGTTTTGGCTGCTAACTGCTCATAAAAAAAAGAAGGAAAAAAAAAGATCAAGTTGTAGGAAGAAAGCGGGAATTTATAGAAAAATCGTTGTCTTTATTTACTTTGTTCTATTTTTTCGATCGTTAACATCGATTCTAGTAAGTGCTAAATACAGGAAGTGGTGCTGTTATTTGTAGCTCATGACTTTTGTACAGGAAGTGGTGCTGTTACTTGTAGCTCATGTGCAAAATACAGGAAGTGGTGCTGTTATTTGTAGCTCATGACTTTTGTAAGGAAGTGGTGCTGTTATTTGTAGCTCATGACTTTTGTTAGGAAGTGGTGCTGTTATTTGTAGCTCATGACTTTTGTACAGGAAGTGGTGCTGTTATTTGTAGCTCATGACTTTTATACAGGAAGTGATGCTGTTATTTGTAGCTCATGACTTTTGACTTTTATTCACTCGTGTAAAATTATACCCAGAATAACGATTGTTTCGTTACGAGTTTTTGATGGACAAATAAACTTTAAAAATACATTCTCGTTTTTGTTACATGGATGAGCCCCCTAGTGGCACAGCGGCATGTCTGTGGACTTAAAACGCTAGAAACCGGGTTTTGATACCCGTGGTGGGCGGAGTACAGATAGCCTGTTGTGTAGCTTTGTGCTTAATTTCAAACAAACAAACAAACAGTAGAGGAATGAATAATAATAATAATAACTGAATTAGAAATCAAGGAAGACAGAGTGCTTTGAATTGATATAGGAAAGTTAGAGGTAACCAGAACACCATGTCAGTCAACGTACGTGCAATAGTAATCCATTAAGACATATCTTATAAGTAAGACTGCCTTGCTCGAGTACGTGGGGATATTCCAGACTATCTTAACAATAATACGTCATTAAAATTTGATGTATAACCTGGCCAGAAACACTCTGGCTAATACCAAAACTCAGACCATGTGTGACCATGATCAGTGAAGCTTTAATAACACGGGAACACTGGCGATGTTAATTTACTTGAACAGCTGTTACCCAGAAACACCCTGGCTAATATCACGACTCTGACCATGTGTGACCATGATCAGTGAAGCTTTGATAACACGGGAACACTGGCGATGTTCATTTACTTGAACAGCTGTTAGCCAGAAACACCCTGGCTAATATCACGACTCTGACCATGTGTGACCATGATCAGTGAAGCTTTGATAACACGGGAACACTGGCGATGTTCATTTACTTGAACAGCTGTTAGCCAGAAACACCCTGGCTAATATCACGACTCTGACCATGAACCGTGAATCTTCGTAATAACACAGGGCCACTGGCGGCGTTCGTTTACTTGAACAGTTGTTTTTGTCTTGATATCATAGTGAAAACCGTGTTAGATATACATTGAGGAATAATATCCTAAAACAACAACAACAAGAACAAAAATGTCCCATGCCACAAATTGTTCACTCATTTTAGAGATTTCTCAGTAGCAAAAATTATAAGATTCGATTCCAATACATTAAGTTTATCTGGCAATCTCAACTGTGGCGATTCCAATACATTAAGTTTATCTGGCAATCTCAACTGTGGCGATTCCAATACATTAAGTTTATCTGGCAATCTCAACTGTGGATACCCATCTTTTTCCTACAAAATTAATAATAATAAGATTCAGTGTCTGTGTGTTTGTCTGTGTGTCACGTAACTCGTCCTAAACCGCTGGTCACACCTACTTCTAACTGGTACCAATCGAATCGTTTCGATCCCGAGGTTTACACAAATGTAAATCGTTTCATGTGAAACGATTCAACCCCCAGATAATTTGCAAAAAACACTCTTACGGAAATTCCCTGAAAGCGGCCCCCAAATTTGGCATTGATTTACATTAGAATACGTAAATAAGTAGGCCTACTAATTACCGTTCGTAACTTGGTTAAAGAAATTAAACTTGCATTATAGCGGCAATGATAATTAAACTCAAAAAGTGTAAAATAGTAATTCAAGCATTAAACATCCGTTATAGCGGCCCTGTAAATGTGGGCCATAGGCCTACGGGTTCGCTAGTGTGAGTAGAGGCAGTGAAATCAGAGGGGGCTTTGTGGGAGTGGGTTAATACATCTTGATAATTTTTAGGCTACCATACACTAAATATTCGCGTTCTATCATGTATATTTTAGAAATTGCTCCATTGGAAGTCAACACAATGTATAAATACCACATTCTCTGGGGGGGTCGTACCCCCTAATCCCCATAAAATTATCATATGCAAGGGGTTGTACCCTCCCCTCCGTAACTTGGTTATAAGAATGGGAAGTCTAAAATTAGTTTATCTACTGCGATTAATTATATTATATAAAATAATGAGGTAACACACAACGTTAAAATGGATACACAATTGAAGACAATTTAAATTAAGGCCAATCTATGACATCAAAAAAAATGTTTGACTCTACGTATTTTTACGTTGCAACGTCCTCATCAGAAAACTTTGCCGTGAGTCCAGTTTATAGACTCATAACTATTCTACCTGGACGCTTGTGTATAATGTTAAAATATTAAATAACACACAATGTTGTAACGTCGAAATATGTAGGGTGTAAACCTTTTTGGAGGCCATAAATTGGCCTCAATTAAAATGTTTTGAATTGTGTGCCCATTTTAACGTTGTGTGTTATTTATCATTTTAACACTATACACAAGTTACAAGAAACAATACTAAAGTGAAGTGTTTTTTTATTTTATTGTAATTTGTGTTTTGTTTATATCGCATAGAATGCTCCTGAGAAAACACGAGACGAAATATCAAGCAATAAGCTCGAATATTCTTAAAACAGAAGCTGCCCAATTAGTCCTTTTGTAGAAAGGCACACAAGATTTTCTCTTAATTATATAAAAAAAGAATCGTTTTATGCATGCTTAAACAGTTTTGTAAGAATTCAATCACCAACTTAATCGGAAAAAAAGAAAGACATTTGTGTTTAATTTTAATTTACGACGAAGACAAAAAAAAATCGATTTCAAAAAATACACAACAACCAATCCCGTACTAATGAATTAGGTTCCTTATTTTAAAGCAACTCTTCCTTGGAGTAAAACCTTAGAATTAGGTTTAGGCGTAATAATAATTTTTTCTCCCATGACGAATTAAAACGAAAATGGAACAAAAAAGACGACCTCGCTCGAACCGATCCAAAGCAATCCACTTGTTTGAATTCCAAGAAAGTCCTAGTAATCCTTTGTTGAGACAGAAGTGATTAGAGCCTAGGAAGACAGATGTTCTCTTAAGTCTATGGTATAGCCCCATGTTTGAAGTAATGATTCGTAGTTTGTACGTTAAGGCTGACACCTCTCTAAGCTTCTTATTAAGTTCTTTTATATTGCTGCAGGCAGTTTGACAACAACGAGATTGCTTGCATTGACGATGCAGCTCTCCGAGGACTCCATCACCTGGAAATTCTGTAAGTAATGATTTGCTCCGCTTTACCGCTTTTTTTCTTCTTCTCTAAATCTCCTCTCCTCCAGGTAAAATATTGAAACAATTCCATGAATTTCTCTGTGTATGGGACAGTACACATAGCCTTAGTATTCTGTATTTCATTTGATACAATTTGAAACAATAATTTTAATTTTGCTGGTTGTTGGAAAGTGAACACAGCTAGAGAGTATACCATATTTTGTTTTATACAATTCGAAACAATAATATTAATTTTGCTGGTTGTTGGAAAGTGAACACAGCAAGAGAGTATACCATATTTTGTTTTATACAATTCGAAACAATAATATTAATTTTGCTGGTTGTTGGAAAGTGAACACAGCTAAGAGAGTATACCATATTTTGTTTTATACAACTATATACGTTTTTATATATTTTACTTCCCTCTATTTGTAATAAATTACACATTTTCACAATAATTTACAGTTGGTGAAGTGATGAAGATATTATACTGACAAGAATAGAACAAATCTAATATATTTCAGTTCGATTTTTGTCGTGTAGAGTCAACGGTAGCTTCTCCTTCATTTTTGAAGTTTGATATTCTAAATAAAGTTTAACTATGAATGATAATTACTCACATTATTAGATAAGATTAATGTACAGGGTTACCCAAAAGTAACAGCACTATAAAACATCATTATACGTAAATTATAGTTGGTTTTTTATTTTTTCTATTTATTATTGATATTTAGACTCGTTCGTATGTTTAGAGCTGTGAAGAAATTCTAACAACTATCTATATTTTTCAGCACGTTGAACAAGAACAATCTCACGACTTTAGGAAAAAATCTTTTTGAAAATATGAAGAAGCTGAGAATCATGTAAGTAGCAACGTAAGCTCATTTTAGAATTGTCTCTGTATTTACACAGTGTTAAATAAGCGATACCTGTTCTTAAAGATCCCACAGCCAGTCTGCACCAGATAGAGTTCAAAAAGGGCTTTCAAAAAATTTGTAGTAATTGTAAGGTTTGAGGGGCAGTTCAGTCCTCGTTGGATGGCCCAATAAAAACTGGGACTTTAAGGGACCTTTAATAATTCTTTTAAAGAATCATCTCATGGATATCGTTATGAATTCATAGATGTTTCTTCAAAGTACCCTTAATAACTCTTTTAAAGCCACAAAAAACAAAGATCAAAACCCAAAAAATGAAGTCACCCAATATATAGATGATATTTTCAGTACCTCTCTCAAGTCACACAAGATTTCCATCATATATTTAGCAGGTTTCCAATATTCAATGCTTTAAATTGTTCCTCGAGTCAAACTGTTTTCATAGCTTAAACATCGGAAAAACATACTAAACGTCAGAAATCAACTATAATTGTCTTTTTTATCATCATGGATCGTTTTTAAGAGTAAATGTATGCAGAATGAGTCACTGTCGTATTACGCTGTTCAGGAGGTTCATATGTGTTCTGGAGTCATCTCTCGTGCAGAGGATTACAATTGGTTTGTGCTCCCTCTAGGAGGATATCGGACAACCCCTTCACCTGCGACTGTCACCTCTCCTGGCTAGCCAGGTGGTTGAGAAGTAACCCCCGCTTAGGGCTCTTTTCACGCTGTGCTCTACCTTTCTACCTCAAGAACAAAGACGTCGCATCTTTAGATGAATCTTACCTCAGGTGTAACGGTAAGTCGTATATGTTGTCGGCAAGCTTTGGAGAATAATACACTAGGTAAAACACCCATATTACCTAAATGTTATCTCATTTGTTAAGGTAAGTCAGTCGGATACATTGTCAGTATTTGTTTACTAATATACAACATACCGATACATAAATCTTACCTCAGTTGTAAGGGTAAGTCGTGTATGTTTTTAGTTAATTTCTGTGAATAATACAGTTGTGACAGTAAGTTACTAGTGTTATCAGTAAATGTTACGTGAATTATTAACGGAACAACACCTGAACTGCTATCTATGAGGTGTCGTTCTTTGTAATAACTTATTGTTTTATTTCTGTGTCTGGTGAGTTTTCAGTTATTCGTGAATCTATTATTCCTTCTGTCAGGTGTGGAGGAAACCCCTAGTGGTTGCCAGACAGAACTAATGTGTCCTCACCCTTGCACTTGTTTTGATGGTGTTGTCGATTGTCGAGACAAACAGTTGAAGAGAATCCCTGACCGCATACCCGAGTCAGCAACAGAGCTGTAAGTGAGACCAACGTTCTTTCTTGTTACATTCAAAACGAATGTTTCTTGGCTTGGCCAATCAGAGTTTAAATAAGCTAGTGTTTTAGTAAAATATTGAAATAACTTGATGAAAATGATAGCAACGGTATTTTTTTTTATCTTAACCCTTAATATATTTGGTCAAATAGAAATTTTATTTTCTAAACACGAGAGAACATTTTATTTTATGTTCGAGATTTTACTACTGTTTAATCGCTTCTTTCATTATTTTCCACTTCGTCTTACGTATCATTCTCAAGATAACACAGTGAAAAATGGATTAACGTTTATTTGAAAACGAGGTTGGTTTTCGGAAGCATCTCCTTTCAACCTTTTTTTTAAATCTTATTTGTTTTTAAGAGCAAAAAACTACACGATGGATTTTCTGCACTGTGCCCATAGCGGGTGTTGAACTCAGAATTTCAGTAGTATGAGCGATGTGTCTCTGAATTGCCTTGAGTTTATAAGAAGAACACTTCAGGCTTTCTCTTTAAGAACGATTTGAAAATCAGAAAGAGCAGGGCTCATCTCGAAATAGCTTTCCTTTATCAAAGTACTCTGAATAAAATATTCCTCTGAAAAATATTTTTTGTTTTCGAATCCGTTATGAGAAGGAAACATTAGTCTTCCTATTTCCACTCACTTTATTTTCCGTGTGAGATGATAGTCTCGAAAAATCGATTTCATCTGAAATCTGTGGTTTCAGGTCCCTAGGAGTGACCCACCTCGTTTTTCTTACTTAATGAAGCCAGTAGTCCGGGGAGGAACTGGTCTTCATCGAGGTATTTCTGCATGCATGACGCTTCACTAACTTTTCATTCGCTTTCTCACAACATTCTGACAGATCATTTTTCTTGCAAGAAAGTAATTTTGTGACTTTTGTCATCTGTGTATTTTATGTTTCAATTTTTGCCTTTTTTTTTGCCTGTACGTTAGACTGCTTTAAGCTCTCAACCTTTCTGCTATAATATTCTTAGAGATTAATCCAAATCCGGGGTTCGATTCCCCGCGGTGGACACAACGGATAGCTCATTGTGGATTTGTTGCAAGACAAACAAACAATGCTTAAATACAATTTACTTCCTCCCCATTTTGTCGTTTTGAGCTTAACTACAAACAAGAAATAGTTTCATTGTTGTTCATTAAAACACTTTTGTTGCGCTTAACTACAAACAAGAAATAGTTTCATTGTTGTTCATTAAAACACTTTTGTTGCGCTTAACTACAAACAAGAAATAGTTTCATTGTTGTTCATTAAAACACTTTTGTTGCGCTTAACTACAAACAAGAAATAGTTTCATTGTTGTTCATTAAAACACTTTTGTTGCGCTTAACTACAAACAAGAAATAGTTTCATTGTTGTTCATTAAAACACTTTTGTTTCAGGAAAAAAGATTTTTTTGGATAAGAGTTCTTATCATTTTCTCGAAATATAATCCATGCATTTTTGCTTTGATACAAGCGAGTCATAAAGACGTTCGTATATAGTTAAAAGGAATGTTAAGAAAACAATACAGTCAAACTTAATTTTAATCTCTTTTGTTAGGCCTACACCGCTCCAGTGAATGCCTTACACTGCATAAAAAATATCATTTCTGATATACTCTTGTCTGCTATAGATCCAACTCAGCTAACGACTTCTGGTATTGAATATAAGGCCTACAGAGTAATGATTTATGGCCCGTAAAAAGAGATATAGTTTTAGACATATCTGATGCGAATAACGTAAATAAATTACGAAGAATATGAAAAGAAACAAATACATTCAAATGTGATGTAAATTTATTTTAAAATGTTGATATTAAAATTCCTTCTTTTGTCCATGATTCTTATTTGTGGCTCTTTTGCTTATTTTTCGTGATGTAAAATTTTATTCAGTTGTCCTTTCTTTCACAAGTTAAAATAATATCTTATGATATGATAGTAAGTATGGAAATGTTGCAGTAATAATAATCGAGATTAGTTTTTAAAAATTGAAAACATTATAAATAGTAAGTTAAAAGCAGCGTTCGTGAAGATAAAGTATCAGTCTTGAAACTGTATGTTATGAAGGTTTATGGATTAGGTAGTCGTCTATAGTGATAGTTCTTGACGTTGTAACTCATGAATCTGTGACTGTTTTCTTCTTAATTCTCGCTCCAAGTCAGGGATTTATCTTGAAACTGTATGTTATGAAGGTTTATGGATTAGGTAGTCGTCTATAGTGATAGTTCTTGACGTTGTAACTCATGAATCTGTGACTGTTTTCATCTTAATTCTCGCTCGAAGTCAGGGATTATTTTCGTGGATTTCTGTCTGAAGAACAGAATGTTGTTATTGACAGGAATTTCTCACTGATGGCTCTAATAATCAGATAAACATGTTTTGGATGAAATGAATTTTTGATGTTGTCGTCTTCGTTTTTTAATACAGATACCTAACTTTTAAGTCCAAAATGTTGATGTTCTGTATCGTTAAACTCTCAGACATTTTAGGCTATTCTGTGGATACTACCTCAAGGGAAACAAACAAAATTTTTTTGCTTTTTAACCATTTGTATTTCGGATTTCATTGCTTAACGATCTATAGTCTCGGAATTTTTATGACGCACTAAAATAAAATTAAACGTTTTATAGACTATTCTTGAAGTCAAGCTCTACTGTTAATACGCGTATCTACATGTTAAAGCTCTGATTTTATAGGCTACCATTAATTCTAGCTTTAGTCCGCTGTTGTTGGAATTCAAGCCACCTAGTAGCAGACATTTGAATCATTTTGTATGTGGTAAATTGACAGAATGTTTTGTCTTAAGATATTATAAGCCGAGAATATCTGTATACATGTACATAGTATATCCGTAAACACGAAAACGGAATATTAATCGATATATAGAACCGTGCTTTCAAAACACTGACCTCCAGCTGAGCCTTCCCAAACGAATTCTGTAAATGTTTCCTTATTGGCCTAACATGGCCTGTTGGTTAGGGCGCTCGACTCACAACATTCAGTTTGCTCTTCGAATCCCGTCATCGAACATGCTCGCCCTTTCAGCCATGGGGGGCATTATAATGTGACGTTCAGTCCTACTCTTCGTTGAGAAAGAGTAGCTCAAGAGTTGGCGGTGGGTGGTGTTAACTAGCTACCTTCTTCTAGTCTATAATTCTAAATTAGGGACGTCTAGCGCAGATAGCTCTGTTACAAAAGTCAAAACAACCAGTTTCGCTACCCTCTATAGACTGTAGACCAAAACATTTAAGGGTTTTTAATAACTCTTGGCTGTCTTTGTGGCGTCATGAATTGTTTGAATTCTTCAACCGTGAACTTAAAAACTCCCCATTCATAACTTTTGTAAAAACGTGTTTTTTCCTATATGACCAACACCCAGATATACACACAAGTCAATAAATTACCTCGTGTACTGCTTACAATACTGAACAAAAGAAAATAAACCATAATGGGGAAAAAAAGATACTTTTGGAAGTAAATAAGATATGTTAACGTTATAATCCAGCTTTTCTGTGATTGAAATGTTGCTTTCCAGTCACCACAAGAAAACAGTGCTGTACGAACCAGTCTATCCAACCAGTTCGTGTTTGTACGCTACATTACTTGTCAACATGAACAACGAGCTCCCGAACGTAAAGAAATAAAATGTTTCATGCACTGCAGGTTCCTGTTTTCATCTTTGCTTTTGATTACAACATAAAACCTGATGGATGTGAAACTAGCTTATGTTTCGAGAAAAGATAGCATAGCTACTGACTTCAGTCCATGATTTCCTTAGGTGCGCTTTATTATATGACATCTAGTTTCAAAACCTAGCTAATAGTCACCATCTAAAACCAAAGTCTCAAACCTAGCTAATAGTCACTATCTAAAACCAAAGTCTCAAACCTAGCTAATAGTCACTATCTAAAACCAAAGTCTCAAACCTAGCTAATAGTCACTATCTAAAAAGTCTCAAACCTAGCTAGTAGTCACTATCTAAAAAGTCTCAAAACCTAGCTAATAGTCACTATCTAAAAAGTCTCAAAACCTAGCTAATAGTCACTATCTAAAAAGTCTCAAAACCTAGCTAATAGTCACTATCTAAAAAGTCTCAAACCTAGCTAATAGTCACTATCTAAAAAGTCTCAAAACCTAGCTAATAGTCACTATCTAAAAAGTCTCAAAACCTAGCTAATAGTCACTATCTAAAAAGTCTCAAAACCTAGCTAATAGTCACTATCTAAAAAGTCTCAATCCTAGCTACTAGTCACTATTTAAAAAGTCTCAAAACCTAGCTAATAGTCACCATCTAAAACCAAAGTCTCAAACCTAGCTACTAGTCACTATCTAAAAAGTCTCAAAACCTAGCTAATAATCACTATCTAAAAAATGTAGTCAAATCTAGCTAATAGTCACTGTCTAAAAGTATCAAAACCTAGCAAATAGTCACTATTTAAAAGAAGAAGTCAACCCTAGCAAATAGTCACTATTTAAAAAAAAAATGTAGTCAACCCTAGCAAATAGTCACTATTTAAAAAAGGAGTCAAACCTAGCAAATAGTCACTATTTAAAACAGGAGTCAAACCTAGCAAATAGTCACTATTTAAAAAAGGAGTCAAACTTAGCAAACAGTCACTATTTAAAAAAAGAAGTCAACCCTAGCAAATAGTCACTATTTAAAAAAGGAGTCAAACCTAGCAAATAGTCACTATTTAAAACAGGAGTCAAACCTAGCAAGTAGTCACTATTTAACAAAGGAGTCAAACCTAGCAAATAGTCGCTAGTTAAAAAATGAGTCAACCCTAGCAAATAGTCACTGTTTAAAGAAGAACTACTGATTTCCAATTTCCCACGAACGTCAACCAGTTTTCTATATTTGATACATGATCGAATCGTACTCATGTATTGTCACAACCTCTGTATTGTACTGGTAGTAAAAAAAAAAAGTCTCAGTTCGATGGGTGTGATTCTAAACTGCAGCTCTAATGTGTTTTGTAAATGAACAAACACTTGTTGGAAATTCGGCAACAGTGAGGCTTTATTATGGAATTCTGTTGGATTTCATTTTTTTCTTAATTCTTTAGAGAGACGCGGCCGTAATCTTGAGTTTTGTTGGATGTCATTTTGTCTTTATTATATAAAGAGACACGGCTTTATTCTAAAGTTCTGTTAGATACGTGTTTCCTTTGTTCTTTAGACGCATGTATTGTACAGTTCTGTTGGATGTCAGTTTTTCCTCTATTATTTAGTGAGACATGGCTGTATTGTACAGTTCTGTTGGATGTCAGTTTTTCCTTTATTATTTAGAGAGACATGGCTGTATTGTACAGTTCTGTTGGATGTCAGTTTTTCCTTTATTATTTAGAGAGACATGGCTGTATTCTAGAGTTCTGTTGGGTAAGAATAAGCTTGTTCAGATGAAGAATGTAATTTATCATTTGAAGTTTAGCTTCTTAGTTACTTTAGTATAATTAAGAACATGGTGTTTTGTATTTATGATGTGAACTTCCTTAATATAAATGGCCACTCAGTCAAAACTGTAAGTTTGTAACACACACTTTTAAAGAATTAATCAACAAAGTGAAAGATATATAAAAAAAAAGATGGTTCTTGCCGAGGTTGGGTAGGTTATTACAAAGATCAGGACCTCAGATATTATCATTATAATCTATCATCACTTCATTCACCTAGTTCTCCCACGGCACAGCCTTGACTGGAGCCAAGCATCATCTCCTGATGAAATCAGCCGGATAAACGGAACATCAGAACTGCCTTATTAAGGTCTTGAACTGTCACTCCGCCCCGGTTGGCTTGTGTAGGAAGTAGTTGTAATCGACGGTTTATTTTAACAGAAACGCCGACACAGAATAAACAGCCTTAAGTGGATTTGGTATTAAAAATAAAACACCTTGGTTTATGTCCTGGACTTAACTAAGTGGTCACCTAGAATTAAAAGTTCGAGTTGTGTTTACATGAATATAGATTACAGTAAGCGCACATGATACTTTCAAAACATACATGTTTACACTGACTAGATACAGAGAGTATCGCTTCATCGTGGACATTGGCAGTACATGTTTACTCCATTACAGAAAAAAAATAAGGTGAAAGAAATAGGAACAGGAAATCTCAAGGCCTTTAACCGGTCCTGTAAAAAGAAAGCAATACAATTAGGTTTTAATGTATCTTATCTTCCGCAGTCTTTTGATCTGTTCCCCGGTAGAGACAAAGACCAGTAAATCATTTTAACGAACTGTATCTAATCACTTGCTCGTTTCGTTATCTTTTTACCAATATAACTGCTGTACAACATTGCCGCCACTCAATAGCATGGAGAACGATGAATTTAAACATAAAATGTTTCTGGTTTTTTGTGTGTATGTTTTTTTTTCTGGCGCTATTCTCCCAAACGGCCACTCATAACTGCATACGCCCGATAGAGAACACCTCTGTAACCTGTTTGGTCACTCCTGATACTTAGTTTTGATATATTTGAAACGTGTCCGACCCTCCTACGCAATTTTTGAAACTTCAAGGTAGCTCTTGTCCTAAATAGTTGCAAACTAGCCACATCAGAAAAAAAAATCAAAACTCGAGTTAGTATACATCCAACTCTTTCTAGTGTTTCTACCAAGTTGGGCAACACACGCGCACAAAAAAAGAGCTCTTAAAAAAAGAGAATTCAAGGAAACGAGAACCCATTAATTGTAGTACTTGCACAAAGGAAATTACTCGGATTTGTTTAGAAACTCATCATTGTTGACATCCTGTGTTGAAACTTTTATTATTTGTAGTTAAAAATAAATAAGTGAGCTTCAAAATACGTGCGATACTTATTATTGATTAATTGTAAACAATGAAGAATGATACAACAAAGGAGGACAACAAAGATTTATTCTGAGACATCCAACAATACTGTAGACCTAGCTAACACTAAACGTGTATTGTTTATTCTATATATTTTTTAAATAATTAATATATCAGACAACAATAAAAGTGGCGTGAATGTTGGCTGGACATTTCCAGTGCTCACGGAGAAATGCGTTGAATTGCAAAGTTTTTACTTTATTTACACAAACCTTTTTTTTTCGCTCATTATTTGAATATGTTTTTTTTCGTTGTTGTTGTTTTATATTTTAGTAAAAGGAGTGTAAAATTCTTATTATAAAAACAATGTATAAACGTACATTTTCGTCCGTCAGTGTATGTGATAATAATGACAAAAGATTTAAAAAACAAATCAAATTGAGTCAAGTATAAATGAAAAACGATTCAGTTTTTTCTTAGAATTTGTTTTCAGTTATGGTAATTGGAACGTTAAGCTTTCAAGGGTCTCAAAACAATGGAATCGAGCTTTTATTTAAAAACGGAAGGATTGGTTCTCAATCACTCGAAATGTGGTAGTGTTTTCTATATGAGGCGTCCTTTGCCACAAGGGTGCGCTGTTTTGTGATTCCCCTTTCTCAGCCTGAATGCTCTGAAGATGTTGCAGGGCAACTGTAAATTACCAGTTATTCTCTGGAGGACATACATAATTATTTCCTACGATTAAGACATTGTTTTGCGATTGTAGAAAATAAGGCTGGTAAATTGTTTCCACTGATTAAATGTTTTTCTTTTTACTGTTTAGGAGATTAGAACAGAACCAAATCACCGAGATAACACCCGGAGCGTTCGCCTTGTACCCACGATTAAGGAGAATGTAAGTTTTAACTCGAATCCAAAAACATGTGTAGTATGAGTATACAGAAGATATATCCATCGTACGTGAAACATCTCCCCGTAAGCCCCTCAGTGGCGTAGCGATATGTCTGCGGATTTACAACGCTAGAATCCGGGTTTCGATACCTGTGGTGGGCAGAACACAAGTATTAACTCGAATCCAAAAACATGTGTAGTATGAGTATACAGAAGATATATCCATCGTACATGAAACATCTCCCCGTAAGCCCCTCAGTGGCATAGCGGTATGTCTGCGGACTTACAACGCTAGAATCCGGGTTTCGATACCCGTGGTGGGCAGAACACGGATAGCCCATTGTGCAGCTTAAATACAAACAAACATCTCCCCGTAAGCCCCTCAGTGGCACAGCGGTATGTCTGCGGACTTAAAACGCTAGAATCCGGGTTTCGATACCCGTGGTGGGCAGAACACGGATAGCCCATTGTGCAGCTTAATTACAAACAAACACCTCCCCGTAAAAATAATTGGAATTGATATATTGCCATTTCACAAGCTTGATCCAATTTATAAACATCTTAAACACTTGTTATTAGCAGCCGTTCAGAAATCAGTTGAACCTTCTAACATGGCTTATCACATAATAGCCCCATGGATATATCTCGTACTGCTCTTCAAATGTCTTTTTTACTGAAAACGAAACGTGCATATTGCTCTTTAACTGTATTTTTACTGAAAATCAAACATGCATATTACTCTTCAACTGTATTTTTACTGAAAATCAAACATGCATATTACTCTTCAACTGTATTTTTACTGAAAACGAAACATGCATATTACTCTTTAACTGTATTGTTACTGAAAACGAAACGTGCATATTACTCTTTAACTGTATTTTTACTGAAAACGAAACGCTCTTATTGCTCTTTAACTGTATTTTTACTGAAAATCAAACATGCATATTACTCTTCGACTGTATTTTTACTGAAAAAGAAACGTGTATATTGCCCTTTAACTGTATTTTTACTGAAAACGAAACGGGTACATTGCTCTTTAACTGTATTTTTACTGAAAATGACCTTTTTTTAAACATAATCGATCAAGTTAATTGTCAAAATATTTGACACATTGTTGCAACCAACGGATATATATTCTTATATTTTTAAATCGGTTAAAAATAATATAACTTTTTTTTGTCAAAATATTTGACACATAGTTGCAACCAACGGGTATATATTCTTGTATTTTTAATTCGGTGAAAAATAATATTACTTTTTTTTTGTCAAAATATTTCACACATTGTTGCAACCAACGGATATATATTCTTGTATTTTAATTCGGTGAAAAATAATATTACTTTTTTTGTCAAAATATTTCACACATTGTTGCAACCAACGGATATATATTCTTGTATTTTTAAATCGGTTAAAAATAATATTACTTTTTTTTTTCTCAAATTATTATCTAGTATAACGTTATATTTTCTACCGGATTTGCCAAGTTAAATTAATATTAATTATATTTCCTTCAACAACATGTAAAGACTATCTGATTTACACATTGCACGGAAAATACCGCATTAAAAGAAAAAGACTTTGAACAAGTTTTTTTTTTTTTACTTTTTCAAGAAACAGGTAGAAACAAAAGACAATTTTCAGGTTTATTAATTGATTTCCTGTCTTACAGTAGCAACTGGATACAAGTATCATGTAACAGAAAGTCGCTGTTCTGGATTAATTAATGAAAAACTAAATTGCTACTTTCAGAGATCTGAGCAGCAACCAGATCGGTATTATTGCCGGAGACGCCTTCCATGGTTTAAAGCACCTTACATCTCTGTAAGTCGCTATTCATTCAAGCATTGTTATGTTAGGTTGTGATGAACTAGGTTGTTTCGTGTGAAGTTTGAGTCAGATATTGCATGAAATATACAATTATATTTGTAACTTTCTTTTTTAAATATGAAATTATAATAAACTGGACTGTTTTGTGTAAGGTTTCACGTGATGTATATAATTATATTTGTAACTATCTTTTTAAATATGAAATTATAATAAACTGGACTGTTTTGTGTAAGGTTTCACATGATGTATATATTTATATTCCTAACGTCCTTACCCAACATGTTAGATCAAATTAACTGGATTCACGTGACGTATATATATATTTATAACTTCCTTACCCAACATGTTAGATCAAATTAACTGGATTCACGTGATGTATACATTTATATTCGTAACGTTCTTACCCAACATGTTAGATCAAATCAACTGGATTCGCGTGATGTATATATTTATATTCGTAATGTCCTTACCCAACATGTTAGATCAAATCAACTGGATTCGCGTGATGTATATATTTATATTCGTAACGTCCTTATCCAACATGTTAGATCAAATCCACTGAATTCACGTGATGTATACATTTATAGTTATAACTTCCTTACCCAACATGTTAGATCAAATTAACTGGATTCACGTGATGTATACATTTATATTCGTAACGTCCTTACCTAACATGTTAGATCAAATCAACTGGATTCACGTGATGCATATATTTATATTTATAACTTTCTTACCCAATATCTTAAGTTGTAAAAAATTGAACCATTTTTTAAAGAATATTTCACTATTACTACTACGTGCTCTGAATATATTTCATAAAGCGTTTCATTTATAATTTTAAGTTAAATATAAGATACTTATATTGTGTTATATACATATATTAGAAAACTCCATCAATTTCATATCACTGTGGTCAAATGCTCACGTATCAATCACAGTAATCCTCTTAGAAATAATCTCACGATTCTTCCTGGTTCAATTTAAACTTGAGATTAGAAGAATAACCCAGGATACTTTAAATACTTCTCAGAAACTGGTTTCTTTTTATCTGTCCAGGGTCTTGTACGGTAACAAAATAGCGGATCTCCCCAAGGGAACGTTCAAAGGATTGACGTCTTTGCAGTTACTGTAAGTTGACTGTCACGCCTACTAGGCTCATAATTTTAAAATATAAGCCTAACTCTGGCAGCTTAGTGTAAAATTATGTCTTCTTTTCCTTTTTTTTTATCATTTCAGTTCGTTTTTAGATATAAATTAGCTATGTCAAGAACGTTCGCACGTGCATTTTAAATAGTTTCACCTTCTTCTTCTTCTTCTTGTTTTAAAATTAATTTCTGAATTAGTCAATTGTAGGAAGCAACCAGAAGATATTATATAAGCTGGTGCAAGGTTGTAATTGAAAATTATTATTTGCTTATCTTATTTTGCGTATTTGTTAGAGAATTAAAGTTGTTGAAACTCTTCTTAATTTCAGGAGAAAATTTCACACAATGAAGTTTGAAAAACATCGTGTATTAAGTATTGATGCAAGAAAAAAAAACGTTTAGGTCAAGATCACTTTTCTGTTTTCTGTTTTCTAAGATGTATAATCCATATAACATATTTTTAAATTAAAATTAAAAGAAATATAGAGGAATGAACTTAACACTGATACGGCATTCACTCTAGAATAGTAACTACGTAATTAAATCAACTTAACACTGATACGCCCTTTCACTCTAGAATAGTAACTACCTAATTACTTCAACATAACATTGACACACCCTTTCACTCTAGAATAGTAACTACGTAATTAAATCAACTTAACACTGATACGCCCTTTCACTCTAGAATAGTAACTACCTAATTAAATCAACTTAACACTGATACGCCCTTTCACTCTAGAATAGTAACTACGTAATTAAATCAATTTAACACTGATACGCCCTTTCACTCTAGAATAGTAACTACATTGGTACTCCCTATTATCCTGGAACAGTAACTGCGTAATTAAATAAACATAATAGTGACACACCCTATTATCCTAGAACAGTAACTACGTAATTAAATTAACATAATAGTGACACACCCTATTATCCTAGAACAGTAACTACGTAATTAAATTAACATAATAGTGCCACACCCTATTATCCTAGAACAGTAACTACGTAATTAAATTAACATAATAGTGACACAACCCTATTATCCTAGAACAGTAACTACGTAATTACATTAACATAATAGTGATACAATCCTATTATCCTAGAACAGTAACTACGTAATTAAATATAACTCAATGATGTAAACATCTGGGATATTTCAGGAACTTTTATTCTTTGTAAGACACTTCAGTAAGGTAGCGAAGATACTTATGTTATCTCTGTTTCGGTCCTTTGGGTTTTAGTTTGGTTCTTAATGCGTTTCTCATTAGTGCTGCATCAGAAGAACATTGAGCCGTGATCAATTACCCCCCCTCTCTCTCTCTCGTTTTTTTTTTTTATGTGTGTGTATTTTCAATAGGGAACACGCTTTCAAAAGCGCGTTAGCGTTATACCCTGCAGCATCAAAAACCTTCTTGGCATCCACTAAGAATAATACACTAATTTTCGTTTACAGAATGGTAATGGAAAGTTCTTGTGTTAACTCGAGTGGACGTGGATGGAACGTTTCCAAGTTAAATCCACAAATTAAGCACTCATGCGTAGACCTAAGAGTCACGTTCAGTAATAAAGCGGCTGATATAGAACGTGTTACAGTTCATGAATTTAAACTGGACTAATTATTAAATAATTGATTCAACGACGTTGATATTTTGGAGCTAACATTGCGCCTCTACGTATGCGTTATTGACTCAAAGACTGTATTAAATACATTTCAGTATGTTATAAACATTCTGTGTTTATTTAACAGAGTAGGCTGTCAGTTAGGTTTAGAAAAAAGACTTACTACCACTCCTCTTCTCCGCTTTGAGCCTTGCCAAAGTTGAAAATGAAGAAAAAATTTAGAACAAATACACAAAAATTCAAAAATTATGCTTTTAAGATTGGATTTGATGATTTTATTATCTCCAGTCCAGTGTGATTAGTGCTATTTTAAATTATCAGTCCAGTGTGATTAGTGCTATTTTAAATTCCCAGTCTAGTGAAATTAGTGCTATTTTTTTATCCACAGTGCAGTGTAATTAGTGCTATTTTTATCCCCAGTCCAGCCAGTATAATTAGTGCTATTTTTTTATCCCCATTCCAGTATAATTAGTGCTACTTTTTATCCCCATTCCAGTATAATTAGTGTTATTTTTAAATTCCCCTTTTTAAATTCCCCAGTCCAATGTAATTAGTGCTATTTTTTTATCCACAGTCCAATGTAATTAGTGCTATTTTTAAATTCCCCAGTTCAGTGTAATTAGTGATATTTTTAACTTCCCCAGTTCAGTGTAATTAGTGATATTTTATTATTATTTCTTGCACATTCAAGGAGTTGCAAGTTTATTTATGAACTACGTAATTAATTTAAGCCAGTAAAAACATTAAAACACGCCAAAAACGAATATAAATAACGGAACATGCATATATACCATTACAAGTCCGTAGAAATAAGTATGCGTATAGTTATATATGTATAACTGTGTGTGTGTGTGTGTGTGTACATAAACTATATATCTACGTATTTTCCCAAAATTCGTTGAAAACCGTGTGTTATTTTTTCAGATTTTTAGAGATCTGTTATAAGCTGTAAAGGTTCGAACACCAGGAATTTTCTACCCACACACTTTGCTTTTAGGGTGGGATCCTCTTCTAGAATATCAATCCTTCTTTACATTATCAGACTCGTATTTTAGATTTCGACGCTGCAGCCTGTGGATTTTTTTCTTTATTTACATAGAAGTCCGGAAGGTTTAGACTTCTAAAAGCCAAGTTAATTAGATTCTTAACGTTCAAGTCGTGTTACAAAATTGATCGTCGTTTTCGATATTTTTGGAAAGATTAAAGCGCTATCTAGCGTTTAATCTACTAGTTGACTTGCCCCTGAAGGTTATACCACCCTCGGGAAGAAATATGTGGGGTGACAGGGATAAGAGAACACAAGATAAACTACGATCACCTATATATGCGAATGAGCGTCACTGAACGTTTTTTTATATAGTATAAATGACGTACCACATATTTATTGGATGTGGAAGTCTTAAACTGGCTATACAGCGCCCTCTCGTTTCTCTCGCAGATGAGCAAAAAAAAAAAAACTGTTTTTCATTCATTTCACATATGCCCTTTACTCAGTGGGAAATTATCTCATTCGTCAACGTAACAATGGGACTTATAACAAATACGGAATAACAATGAAATCACGAAATACTCACATGCAAATACACTAATATATTAAGCCTGAGAAAAGTGATTTAGTCTTACTACACATACAAAGCTGAAAAACTTATCAGCGTCTGTCACTCTGAATGATGTAGTAAAACACATCAGTTTTACTCGTAACACATCCTTGCATTTCCCTTTTACTTCTTTATCTCGGGAATTCATTAACCACTGGGAAAGCTTTCCCTGTTATTTTACTTAAAGAGTAAACAAGCAAATGAAGAAAACATATCAACCAATTTCTTCTCAAAAGTCCCGCCCCCTGGTGGGTTAGCAGTAAGCTTAAGGATTATAACGCTGAATATCGAGTTTCGTTCGTTGAAATATAAAACGAACTCGAAGATTTAGTGTTGATTATATCAACTTAATTCTTAGGATAATGAACAGGTGATAATATAGATATTTACTGGAGTTGATTCCGTGTTGATTATATCAACTTAATTCTTAGGATAATTAACAGGTGATAGTATAGATATTTACTGGAGTTGATTCCGTGTTGATTATATCAACTTAATTCTTAGGATAATGAACAGGTGATAATATAGATATTTACTGGAGTTGATACCGTGTTGATTATATCAACTTAATTCTTAGGATAATGAACAGGTGATAATATAGATATTTACTGGAGTTGATACCGTGTTGATTATATCAACTTAATTCTTAGGATAATCAACAGGTGATGGTATAGCTATTTACTGGATTTGATTCCGTGTTGATTATATCAACTTAATTCTTAGGATAATGAACAGGTGATAGTATAGATATTTAAAGTTGATATAATCAACACGGAATCAACTCCAGTAAATATCTATACTATCACCTGTTCATTATCCTAAAAATTAAGTTGATATAATCAACACGGAATCAACTCCAGATTTCTTAGGATAATGAACAGGTGATAGTATAGATATTTACTGGAGCTGATTTCGTGTTGATTATATCAACTTAATTCTTAGGATAATGAACAGGTGATAGTATAGATATTTACTGGAGTTGATTCCGTGTTGATTATATCAACTTAATTCTTAGGATAATGAACATGTGATAGTAAAGCTATTTACTGGAGTTGATTCCGTGTTGATTATATCAACTTAATTCTTAGGATAATGAACAGGTGATAGTATAAATGTTTACTTAGAAACTGTTTGAGTTATAAGCCAATGAGACAGGCAGTTGATAGTGTTAAAACAAATCTAAGCAACTAGTTTTAGCTTAAACTATGAAAATTGGTTAACTTCCGTGCGGCACGTATAGTGTTAACAGACAGATAAACACTGTCTATCACGAAGTTCTTGACCATCCTAAGAAAAATTCATAAACTTTCGAATGAAATCTATAGTCTTAACACAAAGATAAACACTGCCTATAGTGTTAACACACAGATAAACACTGCCACACACAGATAAACACTGCCTATCACATGCCTGCGCTGTTTTTGCTGTTGGATGGAGTATGAACGAAGTGTGGCTCAAGAGAGTAATGAGTTAAAGTTGTTAAATGAGTGACGTACATTAACTCCAGTCAAGACAGCAACAAAGTACAGGAATGTTGTAGAATGTTTAGCCCAACATTCGAAATAAATAACGTTCAGAGTTTCCTTCTCCTGCTGCTTGTATTTGGTAACCTAAGTATCAACGCCTATCGACCAACTTCTAAATCTTCGCCTTTATTGACAGAAAACAAATCAATGTTTTTTGTTTTTTATCTATGTGAGTCTCACATTTTATTTTTATTCTTCAGATCGTTACTGTTTTCCAACACAAGGGGTTTGTTTTCTCCGAT